CAGGAATAATTGTGCACTTGAAGCTTGGTTTGTCTAATAGCACAGCTCTGTTTCAGATTTGATCAGTACCCAGTTGAATCGAGAAAGAACTGGAGAAGGTAAAGACCAAAGTCCCAGCCTCAGGTTTTGGTCACATTTCAACTTGATGTTTTTGTCAAGATATTACCTGTCTTGATATTACCAAGATGTTACCAGGGAGCATGCTCCCCTCCCTGCAAGCAGACAGCAGGTGAATTAGTGCCAGCTGCACCTGACTTCTTACCACCAGCAGACAAAGCTTCCAGGTCTCCATGTACAAACAGTTCCATTTATTTACATCAGCACAAGCCGTCCTCCACTTGGGTTTGCCTGAGGAGAGCATTCACCCTTTACTGCTCAGTCTAATTACTGACTCAGACTAATGACTCATTACTGATTCAAATTGCTCAGTCTACTGGCTGCACAACTAGGCCATTAACATTTTCTAGAGGTAAGACTCTTGGAAACCAGCAGAAAGAGAGCCACAGAATGGGCCAACTTGCCCACAATTGCAGCAGAAAATTTCCCTGCAATGAAGCCTGCCTTTAAGCCCATTTCTCACAGTTAAACCCACAAAAAGGAACCCAATTCTAGATGTTTAATTGACAGGAATTTTAAGTTGTTCATCTTAGATTCCTCAAATTGCTTCAGTGTTTTCTTGTAGGCTGCAAACTCGTGGGCAAAGCTTTTCACAACTCCATACAAGAGTCACGTCTACATGTAAGATAGCAAGTGTAAAATGAGCTGAACCCAGGCTTTGCCTTCTGTGGGGCCATCAGAGCTTACATTTCACCAGTATCACCGTACCTGCCCCAGGTTCATGGAACTGCAGATGCTATTGTCAGCTTTTGCAATAGGGAAGCAAAGCAAGTCAAAAGAGGCCTGGAACTTTATGCACTGCAAAAGACTTTATGGGAAGAAAAAAAAAAAAAAAAAAAGGGAGTTCATACCACTCAAGACTCTTCATGACTGACACTGACAGTTTATCCAGCCCGTATTTACCCTGTACTTGCATCATCTTTTAATCCCAGATTATAGAACCAAGCCTCCTTTCCCATTTCCTTCATTGATTTAGAAATGGTATCAACACCTCTCACACAGTGTCCAGAACAGTTAACAACCACTAACGAACCAGTATCCCCAC